GTAAACCAAATTTGACAGCAAGGGGACTGGACTTGTGATGAAGAAAAGTATAAGTAAGTGGCCACTGACAATGAAGCTCTAGCATATATTAAAACCACCTGTGAAATAATTTGAGTCAATGGAAAAACGTAATGTAATCTACCAAAATTCCTAATAGACATTTTGTTTGTTTGTTTGTTTGTTTGCAGTTTTATACCTTTATTTGACAATCAGCGATTAGTTCTCATCCACATTAACTGTAGATTTTTGAAAGTGGTGATAGGTACACAGGTAACCAACGAATAGAGCTTGTTTGGTGAATCTTCATCCTCCCATGTTTTCTGGACAACCACACACGGATGAATGTTCCTTATTCCTTTGACCCAGACAGCTTTGTTGAGCCTGGTGTCAATGTGTACATCTGGAGTTCCCACCTCCTTCATGGCAAATTTCTGGATCTCTTTGAGCTCCCGAAGGGCACACTTCTTGAAACCCACTCATAGATGCACTTGTGAATGTTGATGTGAATGTATTCTCTGGTCACTACCTCGTTGATGGCAGAATGACCCTTCTTCTTCTCACCACCCGTCTTTGTGGGAGCCATTCTGCTGGGTCCTGGTTGGAAAGGAAGATAGACTTGGGTTTTAAGAGCCATGGAAGGATGGACACCTGGGTGGCTCAGTCGGGTGAGCATCGACTCTTGATTTCGTCTTGGGTCATGATCTCAGGGTTGTGGGACTGAGCCCCATGTTGGGCTCCATGCTCAGCACAGAGTCTGCTTAAGATTCTCTCTCTCTCCCTCTGCAGCCCCACACCCCTTGCTTGCACTCTCTCTCTCAAAAAAAAAAAAAAGAAAAAAAAAAGAACCATGGAAGGAAAACTAGAACCTTTATAGACTTATTGTGTCAGATGATGATGACAATGATGATGACAACAGTGATGACCACAAATACTGGCCACATCTAGGTTCTTAGGGGTAAAATCATCATCCTTTGTAAAAAAAAATTTTTTTTTAGTGTGTGAATCAGTGAATATTTAAAATTTTATGATAGGTTTAGAAAATTCATGCTAAGAAAAGGGGAAAATAATGTGTAAAAAGATTACTTGAAATGTCATGGGATTGCCATTTAACAAATGACATTCCTGTGTCAGGGAAAGGGTCTGATCTTTCCCTCCTTCTGCTTTATACTTCCATTGGAAGAATTTTTATAAGCATTCAAAAATCTTAAGATAAGAATGGGTTCAGATTTTCAAATACATACATAAACAATATATCCATACATAATAATGCACAGAAAGGTATTCTCTAAGATTAAGAGTGTTAGGTCTAAATTTACTTGTTATTTTTGGCATCTAAAGTTGTGTCTTGCACATGGTGGATAGATACTTAAAATATAGATGAATTTTGATTTGATTTTATTCTTATGGGTGGATCTTGGGACCAGGATCGATACCTTGCTAGAATCTAGAAGTCATATTCCAAGCAAGGTCATACCATTAGTCTGAGTTCTCATGAAGACTACAGAGAATAACGTTTGAGAACTAGCTCACTTGAAGACGACTACAAGGAACTTTTAGGTTTACAGTGTTAAATTCTTTCAAGAGTTTCTCTTCCTTTCTTTTCCACGAATTTTTTTGAGGTTTCTGAAACCCATTCCTGACAGCGATAATGATAGTGCTGAGAAACAAAGTACTACAGTTAAAACAAAACAAAACAAACAAAATCCATAACAACCGGTTTTCCAATGTGCTTGCCATGAAAATCTCTCACTCATTTTTTAAAAGTTGAAGTAAATTGATGTTAAATTATAGATTTTCAAAAGCGTAAAGGTCTTTCAAATATTTAGTCTACTCTCAAGAAAAAATTCTTGAATCCTCCCCACACCATTAGTATATTATTCTATTTCCACTAAGTACTGAACTTCTCAGCAATGTCTTCTCCAAACAGAGCTGGGTATAAAGGGCTGAGCAATCTTCAATAGACTTAGAACTAGAACCACCCACTACTTCAGTGATGGCAGGGGTAGATGTCGCATACTAGACTCACCTGCTGGTACTGGGAGAAAATTCAGACTGGCCGGCAGAACCCAGACTCTCACAATTACGGTAACCTGTAATAAGTACAGAGTGATCATTGGTATCTGGGAGATCCATGATTGGGGGAGCACAGTGGTGGCAACCCCAGGAGGTAGTGTTTGGAGACACAAGCTGATAGGATAGTAAGTCAGGATGTGGCTGAGTCTGTAATGAGTTTCAGGGGCAGGGTTGCAAACCTTATACTCTGGTCTATAGAGCCCCTAAACCTGACCTTTCACGTGCAGCTCTGCCCTCATGATGTGCCAACTTCCTTCTCACCTTTACTGTTCCATCACTTTGGCTTTCTTTCCAACCACAGAGTGCTAAGTTCCCTGCACCCCAGGGCCTTGCTCATTCACATTTATCCTTAAATGTCCTCTCCTTACAAAGGCTTTCTCAGGATACTCTCTACCACGTGATTCCATTTTAATTATTTTCATAACCTTGAGGAGTTTCCTCCTCATTATCTATCCTCACTAGTACAAGCTCAATGAAAGGAAGGTCTCTGTTTGTCTTGTTCCTTATTGTACCCAATAATACCAGGCACTTTTGTAGGTTCCTATCATATTCTGGGAGCTTATTAAACATTTAAATGAATGATTGGATGAAAAATGAACTCATTAATAAACTGTTAAGAAATGAATTACTCTAGCTGGGATAGGAGACTGACAAGATGGAAGTTTCTGTAACTAAAAATATTTGAAGCCAAATCCTTGATGAAATAACAGGAGCTAGGGAGAAGAGGAGCTGTCACCAGATGCAAAAGTCTTTTTTTTTTTTAGGAGAAAACAACTTTTAATTGAAAAATAAAGCAATACATCTCAAATAAGACTCTGTTTAACAACATAAACTGTAACTTCCTGAGGGAAATAGCTTTCCTAGCAGTGGTATTGTGAAATTTAGGTATCAGCAATCAATAGTTTCCCTCCTTTATTCTGACTCAGCTATAAGCATATTAAAAATAAGGACTTTCTCATGAATTTAAACTGTAAATCTGTAAAGCCTGTCCCTATTCCTAATCCACTGACAAAAGGTGAGATTTTAAACAAACATTTTCATACTGAGGAGTTCCCAGGTAATAGCAAATAGTCAATATTTTCCTTATGAAAAGTTTATAGGAAAGACACACAAGACTATTATTGATATTTAATTAATCCACAAACTTCAAAACACAATTTCATCAAGACGATCTCTACTACAATTTTCCTTTAAAGAAGTTCTCAAATCTCAGAATGGTTTACAACTTGATATACTGGAAGTATTAACTCTGAAAGAAAGTAATAAAGTTATTGCTTTAAACTGGAAAAATCTATGCTCAAAAATTTTAAAAAGAGTTCATTAAACAGCTATTCTTACAATGACACTCATGTAACTGCCGAGAAAATGTCCAAGCACATAGTAAACATCACTCTTTTGAATGACAGAACAAAGGCGTATGTTCATCAAGATGTATGGCTTTTTGGTGATTGTTATTACTATCATAGTCATTTTGTTTGACTGAAAAAGGTTTTTACAAAACTCCACTTGCAAAATTAACATTTTTATTAAATCAAGTTAAAAAAAATGTTCACTGTAGAAAAGTCAACAAGGGTTTTAACAAAACCAAAATATACCCTTTCATACAATATATGTATATATTAGCAGCAAACTACTTCTGAGATTTTCTTTTATGTTCTTTTAGTTAAAGAAAGCATAAACAATGCATATTAGTATGGAATGTCAGCTAATACACTCTTCCTCTTTTATTCTGATTTAGCTTCTAGTACAAATTATTTTATGATTCTTATTAATAAATACGAAGAACAAACCCAGTTTTGACTAAGAAGTAGTGAAACAGTGGTTGGTAGCATCCATCTCATTACTTCATAGTCATGCATTATCTGTGAGAATAACAAATGAGCACCATATAAACAAGGTAATTATGTGTGTGTGTAAATTCAACTTTTAAGGTGTGATAGTAGCCAACTAGACCACTTAGCATTTGGCTGTTACTTTTTAAAAATTTGGTGATATATAAAATGTTAATCAAATCAGATACTCAATCCCATATTGCTTGTCCATTTTTAGAATCTTAATAGAAATTCTGTATATACCCTGACAAATTGTATGCAAATGTGTGCATATACACATACAAAAGTGTATGCATGTATACATATACACCTTTAGCTTTCAATGAATTTCTAAACTGAGATGAAGCCAAACCTTTCATCTAAATATACATGTAGAATATGGTATCACCAACTGGAAGTTTCTAATAAAAGTTTTATCTTAGCTAAGGAGAAATACTGGCTATTGAAAGTTTTGAGGCCAAAGAGCTGTAATTCAGCTTAATATACTCTGGGCTTACAAATTAGTCAGCCAAACAAACAGGATTTGAAATTACCAACTGCCCACCTAAGAAATAATTTTTTCTCTTAGTATTTCCTTCTAAGACAAAAAGGAAATATCTTTACAATGAACTTTCACTTTTTAAAGAGTTATAATTATTAAAGAAATCTCACTAGTCTTCAAAAATACTAAACATTATATAAATACAATTTTCTTATAGTTGAATTTCTTTAGCTAGAATCTGTATTACAAAAGTTTCCTTTGGATTGTTTCATTTAGCACTTCAAGTCTCCATTCTCCAACTCTGGTAACTGGCTCAGATTTGGTAGGTTTCTATCAATCACACCTTTCAGAATGTGCTACTGTGTGTTACCTGTGTACAAAAAAGTCAATGGGAGGAACTGCAACAAATTCCAAAAGCAACATAAGGAAAAATTCAAGACTGTGTAATATAAAAAAAGATAAGTACAACATGGAATCCCTTTTGTTCATTACATTAATGAATATAATCCTTTCAATATTTTTAAAGATAATGTCCCAACTTTCATTTTTTAACTTATCAAGAAGACCAAGTTTTTAGATGGCCCACCTTTATTTTTTAATTAGAAAACTAAATCAATAGACTGAATTACTTTTATTAATATACACATCAAGTTACTGAAACGGTGACTTCATGTAGTTTTCCCCTTAAAGATGGCACTTGCAGGTACAAAGATGCAGAGATTTCTATAGCCTTCAGATGTTTACTTGAAAAGATTCTTCAACAGCAGTTTGATACTGGGTTTCCTCATCTAGCTGAAGATTCACAGGAACTATCTGAAACAGGTGATTACTGTTACAGTGATCCAGCAAACGCTGTCTGGTAAAATTTGATTCTTGACACAAGGGACACTTAAAGGTAGGATGCCCAGAAGAACTTGTATTCTCCTGATAAGTTTCTGTGGCATCAGATGTAGATGTTTCACTCCTATTACTGTTCCCTACTGAATCTTGAGAGATCTGAAAGTTTGGAATGATAGAGGAAACACCATATTCATCTTGATACTTCTCACAAGATTTGTAAGGATGTCTCATGCGATAGAATTTAATCTGTTTTGCCCAGCATCTGCCGCTACCAGAAAACTTCCTCATGATATTTTCAAGGTCTAAGGCCCGTTCAGGACATGCTCTCTCTCTTCTAGTCACATTTCCATGACAGAGGGGACAATGTATTCCGCTTTCTCTCATTGCAGTCAGGAAACATTTTCTACAGAAAACGTGCTGACAGGCCGCGGTCCTCACGGGCGTTTTGAGCACCTCCTGACAGACAGGGCAGTAGAAATCATCTTCGGTGTAGGACGTGGCCGCGGAGAGCTCCTCGGCCATGGTGGGGGCTGGGGGGAATCAAGGAGATGGCAGCAGCGGCGGCGGCGACAGCGGCCAAGCTGGCGGTGGCAGCCCGGGGCCCGACTCTCTACGCGAACCCCCAGATGCAAAAGTCTTAATAAATGAAGGGAGTGAACACAGATGGCAGGAGTGGGGGGGGGCGGAGTTTGTGCTGAATAGCTTGAGCCTCAGTGGAGAATAAACTATTAGAAGATAACGGAAAAGCCTAGGTTTGGACATTGTAATGGGAGAATGCCAGCCTACCCTCTCTCTTGTTTTGAGAAATGTGTTACTCAAGAAGACAGAAGGGCACATTTTAGTTACGTTACAGGTTAAGGGAGATTTGGATAAAGCCATCTGCGTAAAGGTTGTGGATACAGTGAGATTTGTTCATGACGGTATATAGAAAGTGTGGAGCGGGGAGGCAACATCTTTAGGAGATGTGTGGTGGGAGTAAAGAAGAGTCTAGCAGTAAGAGGGGCAGAGTCAGCTGAGGGAAAAGGGAAGCAAAAAAAATCTTTTTTCAGATGTAGGAATAAAGCAGAAATGACATGCCTCAAATAGGGAACTCAAGGCTGCAAGTTTACGGGAAGCCTGGCAGTACCCGGTTTAATCTCAGAGAAGAGGGCCCTAACTGTCCTGCATGACAATTTGGACTCACACAGAGAGAACAGCTTTTCATCAAAATGCTACAGAATGGTGGTTTTGTACCAGGCGCTGGTAGTGGGAGGGAGCTATGTCGTCCAGGTAGTGACAGTGTTAGGACATACCTGGGGGACTAAAAGAGGCAGAAGCCAGTCCAGTATGTTCAGTCTAACGCCCTGTGGGAGAACAGTCGGCGTGAACGAGGCTGGTGACTCTGTCCAGAGGGGGGACAGGAAGAGGGCAGAAGATCGTGGAGGTCCTAGAACTTGAGCCGAGCTTTGTTGTGTGATTTAGCTTATGAAAATTTGTCCTCGAGTAATGTTTCCTGTAACTGCCTAGTTTTTTTGTAATTGGGTCTGAGAGTTGGCTTCGGAAGGAAGGCGGCCGCAATAGCGGAAAATCTGGCGTTCTGCGTTTACGCCAGTAAAATTTAATACTCTTTTATCGGGTAGCTTCACTGAATCAGGAAGGGTAAGTGAGGGAAATCCCCCGGTTTCCCGTCAGGTGGTGGGAAACAAAGGTAACCATTCCATGGAGTCTCAGTCAAGTTCCTGAATTGTGAGAGAAAAGTGACCAGTGATCCTGAGAGGTCAAAGGGTGTATCAGCCAGAGTTGGTTTGCTTGAAATAAGAAAGCGAAAGCTCACGGAGGCCCAAGAAGCCCTTTCCTCCCTGTCCGGAAGCTGCCGCTGGGCAGAGTGGAAATCCCTAGACAGCCCACCCAAACCGTTGGAGGAGCAGGGCCGTGAAGAGGCAGAAGCTTCCAGACTTGTCCACGGCGCCCCCGGGTAAGGAGACCCATGGATAAGATTCGGACGGTGCTAGACCTGCACCTCAAGCATCACAGCACGCTGGGCTACGGCCTGGTGACCCTCCTGACGGCGGGCGGGGAGCGCCTGTTCTCCACCGTCGTGTTCCAGTGTCCCTGCAGCGCCACCTGGAACCTGCCCTACGGCCTGGTCTTCCTGCTGGTGCCGGCGCTGGCCCTCTTCCTGCTGGGCTACGTGCTCAACGCGCGCACCTGGCGCCTGCTGACCGGCTGCTGCGCGCGCGGCGCCCGCGGCGCCCGCACCGGGGGCCACAGCGCGGGGCTGCGGGGCGCGCTGGTGTGCGCGCAGCTCAGCGCCGCCGCCGCGCTCGCGCCGCTCACCTGGGTGTCCGTGGCGCTGCTCGGGGGCGCCTTCTACGAGTGCGCCGCCACCGGGAGCGCCCCCCTGGCGCGGCGCCTGTGCCGGGACCGCGAGCCCACCTGCGAGGCCCAGCTGCCGCTGGCGCCCTGCCACCAGGCCCAGGCGTCCGACGCGCAGGACCTGCTGAAGGAGCTCAAGGCCCAGTCGCAGGTCAGACGCGGGCCGCTGGCCGCCGTCGGGGACATGGGAGAGGGGCCGGGGGAGGTGCAAGCGGGGTGTGCCCTGGCTCCAGACGCAGGACCCCGGAAGACAAACTAGAATGGCGACTATTTCAGTGACACGAATGAAAGAGAGGGAAGGCAGTTTCAGGCACCTGCTCGGGGCCGGGTACCGCGCCAGGCCCTTGATCTCCGATCCCGCACTATCCTCTTGATACGCCATGTGCAGGTCGAGGTGTTTGTCCAGCCAGAAGAAGGCAGATTTGTTACAATAAAATGGGTTGTCCTGGCTCTAAAGCCACCACCCCACACTGCTTCTGGGCATATAAAGCCCAGAGGTTCTTGAAAATGAATGCTTGTTCCTTTGGATTTGCCGAAATTCCACGTTTTGAATTCTAGCGGAGTGATATATAGGCCCGTCTCTGGGCCCTTGACCTGACTTGGAAAATGACTTGTCAAGCAGTTCTACCGAGGGGTTTGGGTGGTTACCGGCACTTCTTTCTCTTAAGAGACTAAGACCTAAAACTGTTGCTTGAGCATCATAATCACTGTGAGTAGTTCAAATTCTATGTAAGAAGTTTTAAATTTGGGGGCGCCTGGGTGGCTCAGTCGGTTAAGCGTCGGCTCAGGTCATGATCCCAGGGTCCGGGGATGGAGCCCTGGGTGAAGCTCCCTGCTCAGCGGGGAGTCGGCTTCTCCCTCTCCCTTGGCCCCTAACCCCTGCTCGTGAGTGCGCCCTCTCTCTTGCGTGCGCGCACTCTGTCAAATAAATAAAATCTTTTTTTTAAAAGGATTTTAATCTTTTTTGTATAAAAAAAATGTGACTAAATTGCTGTTTTGTTGTGTTTTCCTAAGGTGCTGGGCTGGAGCCTGATAGCAGTTGTCATTATCTTCTTTCTGATTTTTACCTCTATCTCCCGATGCCTCTCTCCAGTTAGTTTCCTGCAGTTGAAATTTTGGAAAATCTATTTGGAACAGGAGCAGCAGATCCTTAAAAGTCAGGCCACAGAGCATGCAACAGAATTGGCAAAAGAGAATATTAAATGTTTTTTTGAGTGCGCACATCCAAAGGAATGCAACACCCCCAGCACTGAAGACTGGCAGCAGATTTCATCACTATATACTTTCAATCCAAAGGAGCAGTACTACAGCATGTTGCACAAATATGTTAACAGGAAAGAGAAGAGTCATAGTATGAGATCTAACGAAGGAGATGCAGTGATTCCTGTTCTTGGCTTTGTAGATACACCTGGTATGAACACTACTGCTGAGCTATGACCTTATTAATGAATACGGGAAAAGTTATTTTGTGTTTTCGCTTCATTAAAAAACCCACAAACTTTGGTATTGTTTTTGACTGCTCTTTTTTTGATTTTTCAAATTGTGGAAACAATTTTAAACAAATGAAAAATTAGAACTTTACCTATTTATTATATTAATTATAAAAAAGGAAGCAAAGTCTAGTGATTCACTTAAAGTGACAAACTGGAACTAGGTCAGAAGTTTTATATCCCTAGTCTATGGTCCTTTTCACTGAATAATAATGCTGTCAAATGAAAGACTTCAGTAGCAAAAACTGAAAGAACAAATGAACTTCTGACCTTTCTTTTAGGTTATCTGATGTTAAATTCACTGTCTTGCAGATAACACCTTGTTTGGAACATTAAAATACTGGCATTTTATGGCTTTAATGTGGTCGGTAACAAAAACCGAAAAAATTATCACAAAAAAAGAAAGTAAAATTTAAAAAATACAAGATATGAAAAACTAGGATAATTGCAAGCAAAACTGTTGGTTTTCGCTTGCAGGATTGGTGGGAAAATTTTAAAGCATTTTATCATGGGAAATTTCAGATATGCCCAAAAGTAGAGAGGACAGTGTTATGAACCCCTTTAGAGTATTACACAGCTTCGGCAGAGTACGGGAATCCGATAAAACCCATACCATACAAATAAATATAGAAATACAGACTGTCACCTGGTTTAGAGTATGGGAGGGGACTGAAGAAATCTGTGAGAAACTGCAATCCGAAAAATAGCAGAGCATTTCTGTTTGTACAACAGCATGGAAAGGACTGAGGTGAGAAAGATCTTAGCACAGTTGGAAGCCTTAAAGGTGACCGGAAGAGACGAAGCAAGGGCCCGGTCATGCAGCTCCTTGAAGTCATGCAAAGGAGTTTGGTTTTCATGCCATGAGCAATTTAGGAAGATTGTTCTGATATTCTTGTGGAAAAAGCCATGGCGGGGAAGAGGGAGAGCCAACATGGAAATGGAGAGACTGATCAGGGCGCCCCTGCAGTGAAAAGAGGTAGGAGTGAACTTGAACTGGGTTGATGGTGATGAAAACAGAAATGGAGAGGTTCAAGTTGGATTTTGATCACAGACATGACAGGCTTTGTTGATGGAGAAGATGCAAAGATTTATTGAGAGCAATAGCGTCTGTAGACAAAATTCTGTCACTTGACAATACCAGGGGACATTAGATTGTCATTTGTGCACATCTCCCAAATTTATGGCTGCTTTGTGTATTTTTAAAAATAAGGCATGAAAATTGTAAACTGTAAAAGAATTGAGCAGTGGTTCTATTTAGCCCTTCTTCCTCTCTCAACAGATCTCTGTGTTGGCCTCTATTTGCCCTTTGTTGTGCAGGATCATTTAAAAGAACTAACCAGTCAGCAGAACTGAATATCCTGTTGCAGAATCCTGTTGCAGAGTCATATAGTACAAGAAAGTTGACGGCAGAAACTGCATGATCAGTTTCTTTCTATTCCCTAATGAATAATTTTGAAAATCGTAGCATGCTTACTTTTATTTTGCTTCCTTTATTTCATTTTCCCATTTCTTTTGTATATTCTTCTCTTTCAGTATCCCCCCCCCGCCAAGTCCATCCCTGGTCTGCCATTTGTCCTTCCATCTTCAATAGTATAGTCTCCATTTTGTCGACTTATGCTCCACTTTCTCTTGCACAGTATTAATTATTGTTAAAGTATATATGGTTAAGAGAAAAAATAATGTAGAAAGCTGTGTGAAGTAAAAAGTATCTCACTCCTTTGCAATATATTTTTACCAGAGGAAGTCATGTACTCTGTGTCTACACAAATAT